CAAATATCAACGTTGCATTAGCTTTAGCTCGTCGGTTTTGATGAAGCCATGTTGCGGTGGTGCAGTGCAATGAAATTCCCGACAGAATACTACGTACGAATCTGTTCGTTACATAGAGAAAAATTTTCGGAGATATTTTCATTTATATCATGTGTCATATGCGCTCGGAATGTATCTACGAAACGAGTTTTCGAATAATATCATTTTCTTTCTCACAAAAAAATTCCAAAAATTGGATTTTGAATCAATGTTATATATCAATGTTATATACGAATAGCAATGCGTTAATAAAAATTACTATCCTTTTTTATTTAATATCGTTATGCGATCGATTTCGTATTTTAGAAAGACTGTATTTAAGAAAGATCTGACTAACTGGGATTTAAAAGATTCAAATTAGGATTGCATTATTCAGAACATCACTCAACCACTTAAAAACGATGTTATTAACTTGCACCATAAAAGAAAAAGATGATGTCTCTGTAACATTATCAGCACGTACAAAACTTTCGAACCATCTGGAGCCGAACCAACGTCGCCTTGGATGCAGTTTCGCATCTGCTATCGATCGAAAGGTCACTCAACCAGGTGCCTTCGTAATGGTTTATGACGCCCGTGGGGATATGCCACATTGACTGACGGCTTCTTCATCCTAATTGGATAAAAATAACGCATAATTCGCTCATTTTAGAATGATAAATGCGATAACGAGAAAGATTGAATTTTAACAAGTACTGTTTCGCAATACTTGGAACTGCATCGACATTTTTAATGCAAGTGTCTACACGGATTAACGATAGAGATTAGTATATATTGTTTGCTGTTATAGGAAAGCAAACAAATAATTTTTGTAACGTGGAAAAAATGATTTTAGTTCTACGTGTGAAATTAATCGGTGTGAGAATAAAATCAATATTGCATGATAATTCCGATACTAATTTTTATCAAGTTTATAATTGATAATAAGTAATGCTACGCTAAAGATACGCTAGTATATAAATATAAACGTTTTCTTATCATTTTGACATTGAATACTATACAAAAAAAGAGTTTAGTCCATAAAATGATATAAAAATTATATTCTTTATATCTCTTTAATTCTCTCAATATCATCAAAGTTATCGATTATTTCCATGAAATGTCTCAATATCATCAAAGTTATCGATTATTTCCATGAAGTATATAAAATAATTGCGTAGTAAAGATGTAGTAATCATATCTCTTTTGCGACGCAATCATAATAATTCAACAACAGAATTTATATTTAACTTAAAGATTTTCGCAATATATAATCATTGGTCAATTAAAATGATAACAATTAAAATCCATTCGACATTCATCAATATCCAATAAATCATTAAGATTTAAGGAAACGTATATATTAGATTAATATATATGTATATTATATATAGTATATATAAAAAATTATTGGATCGTTAAAAAATACTGATTCCAGTGACATACTTAATTGCAAAATTTCAAAAAAGACTTCTTCAATATCTTCTGTTTCCAGATCAAAATTTAAGTGTATATCTATTTTCTAGAAATATCATATGAAGAAATTTTTCAGATTTAGTAACGCGCGTTTCGAATATATCGACAAACAAAAAAAAATCAACAACAAAAGAAATCAGAAGTAATCAGTATAATTAAATTAACATCTAATCTAAAATGCAGAAATCATTTGTAACTCAACAACCCATTACTACGAGTGCTACTTGTCATCAAATAAGTATACAAATTTGTTAATTATTCATATTCGACAAATTGAGAATATCTAAGATGTGATCTTTAATTTTGTTTCGTCTTGGCGTTTTTTCTGCCAGTACGAGTAAAATTAATAAGATCTCAAATATAATATGATAAAAATGCATTACATGATAAATTATGCATTACGATCACAGTGAAATGAGATATAAACTATCTAATTTCTAATAAAAAATTTTGATAAGTAATAACAATACTGTTTGAATCCTTACGAGAGCAAGTTTGAAACTAAATAAGAAGGTTATCGTTAAAGCGAATCAAATAACAAAACTTAAAAAGTGCTTTGTATATCAGAGTGACAATAAGAAAAAATCAGAAATAAAAAAACTTTTGAATAAAATAAATTGGTTAAAAAGTACCATTTTTAATCAAACTCAGCATTGTAAAAT